AATAACTTATTAAGTAGAGTGAATGGCGACGGAGAGTCCAAGGAGAAGGAGGGAATAAATTAAGTAGAGTGAATGGCGACGGAGAGTCCAAGGGGGAAGAAGGAGGGAATAACTTATAAGTAGAGTGAATGGCGACGGAGAGTCCAAGGGGAAGAAGAGGGAATAACTTATTAAGTAGAGTGATGGCGACGGAGAGTCCAAGGGGGAGAAGGAGGGAATAACTATTAAGTAGAGTGAATGGCGACGGAGAGTCAAGGGGAAGAAGGAGGGAATAACTTATAGTAGAGAGTGAATGGCGACGGAGAGTCCAAGGGAAGAAGGGAATAACTTATTAAGTAGAGTGAATGGCGACGGAGAGTCAAGGGGAAGAAGGAGGGAATAACTTATTAGTAGAGTGAATGGCGACGGAGAGTCAAGGGGAAGAAGGAGGGAATAACTTATTAAGTAGAGTGAATGGCGACGGAGAGTCCAAGGGGAAGAAGGAGGGAATAACTTATTAAGTAGAGTGAATGGCGACGGAGAGTCCAAGGGGAAGAAGGGAATAACTTATTAAGTAGAGTGAATGGCGACGGAGAGTCAGGGGGAAGAAGGAGGGAATAACTTATTAAGTAGAGTGAATGGCGACGGAGAGTCCAAGGGAAGAAGGAGGGAATAACTTATTAAGTAGAGTGTGGCGACCAAGGGAAGAAGGAGGGGAATAACTTATAAGTAGAGAGTGAATGGCGACGGGAGAGTCAAAGAAGGAGGGAATAACTTATTAAGTAGAGTGAATGGCGACGAGAGTCCAAGGGGGAAGAAGGAGGGAATAACTTATTAAGTAGAGTGAATGGCGACGGAGAGTCCAAGGGGAGAAGGAGGGAATAACTTATTAAGTAGAGTGAATGGCGACGGAGAGTCCAAGGGGAAGAAGGAGGGAATAACTTATTAAGTAGAGTGAATGCGACGGAGAGTCAAGGGAAGAAGGAGGGAATAACTTATTAAGTAGAGTGAATGGCGACGAGAGTCCAAGGGGAGAAGGAGGGAATAACTTATTAAGTAGAGTGAATGGCGACGGAGAGTCCAAGGGGAAGAAGGAGGGAATAACTTATTAAGTAGAGTGAATGGCGACGGGAGTCCAAGGGAAGAAGGAGGGAATAACTTATTAAGTAGAGTGAATGGCGACGGAGAGTCCAAGGGGGAAGAAGGAGGGAATAACTTATTAAGTAGAGTGAATGGCGACGGAGAGTCCAAAGGGGAAGAAGGAGGGAATAACTTAATTAAGTAGAGTGAATGGCGACGGAGAGTCCAAGGGGAAGAAGGAGGGAATAACTTATTAAGTAGAGTGAATGGCGACGGAGAGTCCAAGGGGAAGAAGGAGGGAATAACTTATTAAGTAGAGTGAATGGCGACGGAGAGTCCAAGGGGAAGAAGGAGGGAATAACTTAATAAGTAGAGTGAATGGCGACGGAGAGTCAAGGGGAAGAAGGAGGGAATAACTTATTAAGTAGATGGCGACGGAGAGTCCAAGGGGAAGAAGGAGGGAATAACTTATTAAGTAGAGTGAATGGCGACGGAGAGTCCAAGGAAGAAGGAGGGAATAACTTATTAGTAGAGTGAATGGCGACGGAGAGTCCAAGGGGGAAGAAGGAGGGAATAACTTATTAAGTAGAGTGAATGGCGACGGAGAGTCCAAGGGGAAGAAGGAGGGAATAACTTATTAAGTAGAGTGAATGGCGACGGAGAGTCCAAGGGGAAGAAAGGAGGGAATAACTTATTAAGTAGAGTGAATGGCGACGGAGAGTCCAAGGGGAAGAAGGAGGGAATAACTTATTAAGTAGAGTGAATGGCGACGGAGAGTCCAAGGGGAAGAAGGAGGGAATAACTTATTAGGTAGAGTGAATGGCGACGGAGAGTCCAAGGGGAAGAAGGAGGGAATAACTTATTAAGTAGAGTGAATGGCGACGGAGAGTCCAAGGGGGAAGAAGGAGGGAATAACTTATTAAGTAGAGTGAATGGGCGAGAGAGTCCAAGGGGAAGAAGGAGGGAATAACTTAATAAGTAGAGTGAATGGCGACGGAGAGTCCAAGGGGAAGAAGGAGGGAATAACTTATTAAGTAGAGTGAATGGCGACGGAGAGTCCAAGGGGAAGAAGGAGGGAATAACTTATTAAGTAGAGTGAATGGCGACGGAGAGTCCAAGGGGGAAGAAGGGGGTTTAGAGTGAGTAGAATGGCGACGGAGAGTCCAAGGGGAAGAAGGAGGGAATAACTTTAAGTAGAGTGGAATGGGACGGAAGTCCAAGGGGAAGAAGGAGGGAATAACTTATTAGTTTGGCGACGGAGAAGGGGGAAGAAGGAGGGAATAACTTATTAAGTAGAGTGAATGGCGACGGAGAGTAAGGGGGAAGAAGGAGGGAATAACTTATTAAGTAGAGTGAATGGCGACGGAGAGTGAATAGCGATGGACATACAACAATAAGACTACTCACTCTGCCCGAGCGATCCGCCTGGTTGAGCGCCGTGGCGTCGAGGGCGCTCGTGGCCGTGAGCTCCTTCAGAAGCTTTACGATCTGGTCCTCTTCTGCGACCCGGCAGGCCATCAGAAGAGTCCCTTCGCTGCTGCCCTTCATCCTGTCGCCGAGGGGGAACTTGAAGCCGGAGAGGAGGGGCGGGAGGGTCTTGGGGAGCTTCTTTGCGGGGGGACGGCGGGGGCGGGGGTGTTGCGGAGGGCTGTGCTGCTGGCGGAGGAGCCGGGGCCCTTCTGCGGGGGCGGTCCTCGCGTCTGCGGCTGCTGCTGCAGTTGCGGGGCACTGGCTGCCTGCTCCTTCTGGGTCTGGGTCTTGGATGGCAGCTGCTCGACCGTCTGTCCGGGGGGCTTGGCTACTGCAGATACTGGTCCTCCCTTGGTTGCTTCTGGCTTTGCTGGCTTTGGTATAATAAAGTCTTTATCGCCTGTTATCGGGGCCTTGCCGAAGCCTTTTTCATTGGCCGCGACTGTCTCCGGGGTCTTGCCGGGCGTGAACGAGGTGAGAGGAACGATTATCTTTCCTTCGGTGCTCCTCGAGAGAGGCCGGCCACTAGGACTCTGCGCGGGCACTGAAGGCTGTCCTTGACTCGGTGGCTTTGAACTGTTTCCCTCCGGAGGACTAGATGCTGAGGGGCTTGCCTTTCCTTCAGTCTGGCTCTCGAGGCCGTCCTTAATCACAGGGGCATCCTTGGCGGAGGCCGAATCCTTCCTGTTCTTGGTGAGGTAGCTGGAATACGAATACGACTGGAAGTTCTCCGTGTAGGCCTTCGCGGCGGCTCTGATCACTCCGGTCCGCGCGTCGACGGCTGCCGAGCCCGTGTGCTGTAAGACGGCGGTCGGCGGGCCCTTCGCGACGTCTGTGCTCTCGTTGATTCGAATGGCTGGGCTGCTGGAGCTCTTCTCGAGCTTCTTGTTGCGCTCGAACTGCGCTAGTCCGGCGGGCAGGGAGTTGTTGGTCAGGCTGCTCTTGCGTTCTGCGGGAGCCCTGAGGGTCACCTCCCTGTTGGAAGCGTGGATGATGGGCGGAACCACAGGCCGTTCGCCGCCCACAGCCTGGCTTCGAGCAGGCGCCGGCAGAGGAGATCGACTCCGGCGCTGCTGCAAGATAGCCGCCGGTTCTCCACTCCCAAGGGAACCAGCCCGGATCAGCTGCTGACTGTGCTGATCAACGAAATATACCTCTTCTCGTCGCTGTTTGGTCTCAGGAATATCAATGTGAGCTGACTTTTGTAGCTGTTGCTGCTGCTTCAGTTTCAGCTGCTGCTTCAGAGCCTCATGTTCGTCGGCTTCACGCTGCAACTGCTGTTGCCTGAGCTTCTTTGCCTCCAACGCCTCTGCATCCCACTGTTGCTGGAGCTTGATGTGCTGTGTGCTCTTACTCTCATTCTTCTCGAGCTCCTTCTGCCGCTGCAACTTCTGCTGTTGAAGCTTCTGTTGCTGGAGCTGGTTTTCGGAGACTTTCACAGCCAATCTATGCTGCTGCGAAAACTGCCCTTCTTTCCCCTGGTGGCCTTCCCTCTGCTGCGGGAGTTGCGGCTTCTGCGTCGAATCACCACCGTCTCCGCTCTGCCTGCCTGCTGTCCACCCGCCGGCACCTGTGGAGTGGAACGTCTCTTAGAACGGCTGTCCTTTTACATGCTAAGAGGGGAACAGACTAATGCTTTCTCAATGAATGGAACATTTCTTATTAATAGCAAAACAATCCTTCATTTGTCATACATGATACTCGTTAAATTCGACTTATGTGACCTGTACTCTTTATGGTTTGATCTAAAATGTTTGCAGGGACATGCGCGTGTATTTGGTGCGGGCGTGCTTGCGTGTGAACAAGTACCCGCGAGCGTGCGTGCGTGGATCTATGCATGTATGTACGTACGAGTGTAAATCAACAGAACGTTCCCCCCTCCAGCATCCCGGACCTCCTCTTCCTCCTTCATCTCCCACAAAACTACCCAAACTAATGATGAATAAAGGGACGATGCTCTCCCGCCCGCCGCCGCTCCTTGGCTCGGAGGCAGAAGGATCAGCGGGCGGGAGTTTGATGATCAAGTCGACGCCCTCAATTCTCAGACTCTCTACAACTGGTCGACACGATTTTTAAAACTGAATACATATCGTTTACCAATAACGCGTATCCGAAACATATATAAAAAGGAAGTTTTTTTTTTTTTTTTTTTTTTTTTTTTTTTTTTTTTTGCTATTTCGTTAATCTATCAACGTTTATTTCCCGTGATTCCTATAATCTCGAGTACCGTTTCCCTATGCGCGAGATCGGGATGCGGTAGTCATGGCAACCGGCGCCACAACATCCTCAGGAGTAGCAATCCGTGCAATTTTCTTCCCGTGACCTTCCGTTACGGAATTGCAACCAGTGCCCTTAACTGGTTTGCCAAACAATGCATACTATTTTGCTTTTCATGCGTCTCTCGAATAGAATGGGGTTATTTCCAGTTGCAACAACCGGGCTGCAATGCGACGCTGGTTTCTTCTCACCAG